AGGGGAGCTGAGACAACAGCTGAGACTGGGTGTGGTGGGGCATGCTTATAATCTTCACACTTGGAAGACTGAAAAACAGAAAGGATCACTAGAATTCCAATTGAGATCTGTGTATTGAGACCCTGTACTAAATACATTAAAAAAATAAAAAATAAGTTATCTGATCACAATCTTAAAATTAACACATTTGTTCTTCATTATCTAACTTTTTAAGATACACAGACAAATAAAGATGAGACTACTTCCACAATAAAGACAGTTAACAATTCAGAAGTCTCTATAAGCCAGGTGTGACATTGTATAACTGTAATACCAGCACTTGGGAAGCCAAAGCAAGATTATTGAGAGTTCAAGGCTAGTCTGAACCTCATAGTGTGACCCTGTCTCAAAATCTTTTTTTTCTTCTAGAGTAGTAATTATCTTTGTAGAATGGATATGTGCATATAAGACATATATTTGTACAAACACAAATATCTGTAGTTTCTTCTGTTCAGCATGTCTTACTCAAAAGATGTTCACTTTTATTTCATAGCAATCAAGTTTTTTTATTGCTAGTTTTTTGAGACGGTCTCACTACATACTCTAGGCTGTCCTTGAACTCACTACACAGCCCAGTCTGGCCTTATACTAATAGCAATCCACAGGCCTCAGCCTCCCAAGTGCTGGGATTACAGCCATGTGCCACCACAATGGGCAGAACAATCAGATTTTATAGAAAAACTTCTAGTGCTTTCATTACCCATTTTTGAATTATGTACCATTTAATTTTTGATAGCCTTATTATTTTAAAAACATTACCAATATTTTATACATTTATTTAAACCAGTTTATTAAATCCTACTAATTATGACCAATGTATTAGTGTTAACAAGACAGTTCTTGTCTCTGGTTTAAGGTTTTTCAGTTTTTAATCAGTTACATTTCTCTATACTAGTGATAGTCTATCTGAAGACCAAAAAAAAAAAAAAGATAGCATTAAAAAATAAAATACTTCAGAATAATTAACCAAGGAAGGGAAAGATTTTAACACTGAAAACTATAATCACTGAAAGAAACCAAAAATCACACATACAAAGGTAAGAAAGCCCATCTTCATAGGCTGGTAAAGTTAATTTTGTTAAAATAGCCACACTACCCAAAGCATTAGCACATTCGATGCAATCCTTATCAAAACCCAGTGCCATTTTTCAGATATAGGGAAAAAAAATCTGCAATTTATATGGAACTATTGGACAGTAATTAAAAACAATTTGAGAAAGAAAAAGAGTATCACACTCCTTGATTTCAAATTCTAATACTATAATAACCAAAATAACATAGTATTAGCACAAAGGCAGACACACAAACCAGTGAAACAGGACAGAAAGCCCAGAAATAAATCCAAGCACACTTTCTAACTTTTAACAAGGCTGCCAAGAAGACATACTGGGAATGATAATCTTGTCAAGAATGGACAGCAAAACTGGATATCTATCGCAGGAGAATGCAATAGCACCATTATCTTACACCATACATGAAAACAAACTCTAATCCGAAAGGCCTGAAACAGTAAAATTCCTAGAAGAAAAACACAGAGGAAAGGCTTTTTGATATTGGAGTTGGCAATGTGTTTTGTTTTGTTTGTTTGTTTTTTGATCTTGTACCAAAATCTTAGGCCTGAGAACAAAGAATAAAGACGGGACTACATCAAACTAAAAAGGCTTTGCACTATCAAGGAAGAAAAAAAAAAATCAAGAAAATCAAAAGGCAGCTATGAACTGGAAGAGAGTATTTGTAAACCATGTATATGAGATGCTCAAAATAAAGAACTCAAACATCCTTTAAAATGTAAATTGAAGCAGTCGTGAAAGATATGGAGGTATCTCAAAAATAAAAAAACAGGGCTAACACATGGTATGATCAGCTACTGCACAAGTAACTGTATAACCAAATGAGGGGCTTGCAGATTAGCTCAGTTGTTTAAGCACCTGCTTGGGCAAACCCAGTCAGGTGCAGGGGACCACAGTTTGATCCTCAGCTCCACATGCCTTTCCAGATCCACCCTTAAAGCAGCCTGACTCAGCCAAAAAAAAAAAAAAAATTCCTTCCCTAATGAAGTCATTGACATTGCCTCACTCATGAAGACTATCTGCATGTCCACATTTATTGATGCATTATTCAAAAAAACAAAATATAGAAACCTATATATCAAGAGATGAGTACATTATAAATTTATGCATATATATACACAATAAGACTATTATTTCATCCTTAAAAAAAGGAGATGTCATTCCCAACAATATAAATAAACTTGAAGGGCATTATGATAATAGAAATTAAGCCAGACACTGAAAAGAAAAATACTTACTTGTATTTTCAAAGGAACAAAAACTGTTCAATATATGCAAACAGAATATAAACATAGTAAACAGGAATGGGAAGAAAAAGCAATAAGGAATAGTTCATAAATCTAATAGTATTTAATAGTGAAAATCTGCTTCTGAGATGTTAAACACTCTTTTTGTTTTTGATACAAGGTCTCACCATGTAGTTCAAGCTGGACCTGAACACACACACACTATGCAACCCAGGCTGGCCTCTAGCAGGGACTCAGTCTCCTGAGTGCTGGGATTAGAGTTGTGCATCACCACACCCAGTAGGCACTCTAGCCATAAAAACAGGAAGGTGATTTACAGGTTAATTTTCTTAATGATGGTAATCCTTTCATTATATCAAAACAACATATTGTGTGTCATCTATATATTTTTATATATAAATATAAATATATATATATATATATATTTAAAATACCATTAAGATTTTGTGTTTTATAGAAAACATTTTTCTAGTGTTAACTATTATTAATATTTGGTCATTATAAAAGGATTTGGAAATAAAGTGAAATGCCAACATGAAAACATACATCCAGCCATCAAGATTTGGCTAAATGCCAAAATCTGGAAACGTGAAAATCTATATGGAGTTACTTCCTCACTCAGTTTTTCCTGGATGTGTTCTTATGTCAAGCCTATTTTTATTTAAAATGCTAATGAGGGAAGATGTGAACTGAGATTTTTTTCCAATGCTTCTATTTGCCTTCCTCCTTTTATAGTCTTAGAGGAATGGTAGGTTTCCTTTTTAGAAGAGAAAAACTGTAAAGCACCTAGTAGACTTGCTAGGTAATTGCATCCTATTCCCATGTCAGGATTTAACTAAGTCTCAAAATTCATACAAAGTTGTATTACCATATAGTATGTTTTGGACACTTGAGCTACAGAAAAATCTATAAACTTGACCAGAGGAAGCCAATTTTGATCCCTTGTGCTACCTTTCCTTTAGTTTTTGAGATCTTGCAGACATACCTGCTTTTAATGTTTAGTCTGCACTGGGGCAATGCCCTAGCTCAACTCTGAAATAAAAATCCAGAGGACCAAATCCCACACATGACTGCCAAGGCAAAAACTAGACATAACACATGCTCTCCCATGTTGATCAGATCCCAATCTTAAATTTTATGCTGTGACGTTTGACTTAGAGGAAATTCTGAATTTGTCAATGAATTATGTGTTCAACTGTCCACTCAGAGACCCAAGACTCTAATTCTTACAGAAATGCAATATCTGATATATTTTAAATAATATTAATAATATTAGCCTAACTTCTAGGGAGTTTTAACTCTTTAAATGTTAACTATTCTTGATTTTATGGTATTTTAACTATACCATAGTTAACAATCATTTACATTATCAATTCTAAGTAGAAAATGCACCTTAACATTTGACGGCTTGCGTATATAATGCCCACGATAAGGTGATTGGGTTTTTTTGCAGTACCAGAGATTGACTTTAGGACCTTCTGCTTGCCAGGCAGGTGCTTAAGCCACTGAGTTAGCTCCCTGGCCCTCAGTAAAGTGATTCTAAGACTCACAATCATACATAGTAAGTTAAAATCCTTAAAATAGATTTGGATTGTATTTATACCAGCCACCTATGGTTCCCCCTCAAGAATTTATATTTAACCACTTTCTCTCAATTTTCTTCCACAGTAGAATACATGCCCAATTTTCACTATATCCTATCTGTGAGAAACAAGCTTTTTATTCTTTGTTTCCCTTTAGGTATGGTTCTTTCTTTCCTACTTTTTGTCTTTTGTAGCCAAGAAATATGTGTACATTTTCTATTTAATACCTCTAGCCTGACTGACATGAACTGTTCCTTCCTAGTAGATACCATGGTCATGAATTTATTACTATCAAAATATGATTTACTTAATACTTTCTTATACAGTTCAAGTATCTCTAGTAAAGTATTGAATCTAAAATATTGTACACATGCATCAGTGTGGTCCCTCCAAATTCATAGGTTCAAATCAGATCTCATAGGATCTCAAAGTGACTTTATTTGAAGGAATCTTTATACAGGAAATCAAGTTAAAATGCAGTCACAAGGAGGGTTTCAGTCCAGTAAGTGGTCTTGTTACACCCTGATTTTGGTTAAATCACCTCTGGACTACAAGGTTTAGTATATCTACCACCTCTGGACTAATTCAGGTTTAGTATATCTTTTTGGTTTCATGTCCTTTTACTTTTGAAACTCTAGAATAAATTCAAATGGATTAATAATAACTACTCACAACAAATTGTATGATTTCAATATAATTTGATACAATGTTCAAGATTGTAAAAATTATTTAATTATTCATGGATTGACCATCGAATGCAAAATATTCATTCTGAGATAATCATCTGTTTGGAAAAGTATACTTTAAAAGGTAAAAGTGACAATTATAAAGTACAAAATCATTCTCATGTGGAACACATACAAAAATAAGGCTCATTATGCTTTTGGAGAACATTCATCCCTGGCTCTCTGTTGCAAGTCCACAGCAGAAAGCTCAGTGTTCTTCAGACAGTATCACAAATTATTGGGCAGCCAAATACAACTATATCTGCCTTACAGGGCTGTGATGTTTCTCCACTGTATGTGGTTATCCTGTTGGAGGACCCCTGTTCCAGTTCTTTCTCAGTGAGACTTTTTCTTCTTTACATGAGTCACTATGTGACTTTTGAGGTTGTTGGACTGAACAAACCTCTTGTCACAGCCCGGGAAGGGACATGCAAAGCGCTTCTCCCCAGTGTGGATGCGTACATGCGTGCGGAGGTTGAAGTCCAGGGAGAAGCGCTTCCCACAGCCCGCAAAGGTGCACTGGAAGGGCCTCTCACCCGTGTGCGTCAGGAAGTGTCGGGCCAACTTGGAGCTCTCATGGAAGGCGCGCCCGCACTCTGCACACACGTGGGCTCGGGGCGCATGCACCAGCAGGTGCTTCCGCAGGGCGTTTTTATCCCTTAGCCTCCTTGTGCATCCACTATGTGGACAATCCAGTGCCTCTGGAGTGCCATGGTCTTTATCGTGTGGGGATTTCCTTTCAGCAAATTCTCCAAGCTTCTTAGGATCCAACAGGTTAACACCAGGTATCCCTCCAGCTGGCAGCTTCTTGCCTGCCAGGTATTCAGAGTGCTCAAGGTGTGAATCCCCTTCAACCATCTGTGGCAGGGGCTTTTGCCTCGCTCCATTTTTCATGTATTCCAAAGAACATTCAATAAGGGAGCTGGCTGCAAAAACCTGTTGAGAAAGACCTTCTTCTGCATATTTGCTTATGTCTTCCAAGGACCTGGGAAGGAAATCTTCCAGGTTGGGTTCAGAAAACTGACTTGTTATTACACATTCTATATAGCTGTCAGGGAAATCCTCTTCTCTGAAGGTTTGAGGACTAGGTTCAGGTAAGGAGCCTTCTTCACACAGGGCCAGAGTCACAGGGACTAGGTTCCTTTGTACCTCAGGGACTGGGCTTGCCTGGCACTGTTCTGGCTTCGTTCCATGGAGGGCTTGTCCACCCTGACCTTTCTGGCCACTGGTTCTGGCCCTTCTCTTCATCTGCTGACTCATGTCCTTCCACACACTGCTTTCCAGAACTCGCTGCCTTCTTGAAAGTTCTCACCAGGAAGAAGCAGTCACGTTCAGGTAGCCGTGAGACCGGTAAGTTGTCTTCAACACACACCTGCTTTATGATAATAACCCCATTAGAACCATTGTCAGAGAAGGATCTCAAAAATGATTTAGAACACACTTTGCAGTAACAGAATGGCTTACATTTACATATCATCTGACAAACTCCCCAGGAGAACTGTGGGCTAAGACATGGGTCAATCTCAGGTATTACTTTGGTAATCACAAGAGTTACCTGACCTAGGTAACAACCGGGCACTGTTGTGCTACTGGCCTTACCTCAGGCCACATCCTACAGAAAAAGTTATGCTTCTGACTCCTGCACATGTAAGATAAATCAGTTATGTGTGTCAAGCCTAGAAGGCAAGAGCTGTAGAGTAGCACATTTTAAACAGACACTCAGACCTTTACAGAGACAACTAATGGCATCAGATTAAAAAATTTGAAGGTGAAGCAGTTAAAGCATTAGTTTTCATTGAATGTAGCAACTCTGACAACTTACACAAAATGGTATTGTATGATTATTTTTATTCATTCTACAAATGTGTACTGGATCCTGCTACATTACTAGGTAGGGAATGACTACTTTGTCTCTCTAAAGGGCCAGAGTAAAGCTCTGGGGTCCTCTGAAACTACTGAGCTCTGTAGCCACAGTATGAAGCAGTCATAGATGACACATGCAGGAATGAGGCTGGCAGTGCTACAATAAAAGGGACAGACTAGATTTCACCCATGGGCTGTGATTTGTCTGCCTCCTGTCATAGAAGGCAGTAATACAGACAAGAAGACACCTAAAATCCACAGAATTCAATAAATGGCCAGGGTAATGTAGCCCTTAAGTTTGCCACCATTTCTTTTTCTTTTCTTTTTTTTTTTTTTTTTTTTTTCCAGTACCAGCAATCAAACTCAGGACCTTACACTTGCCAGGCAGGTGCTTAAGCTGCTCAGCTATCTCCCCAGCCCCTTAAAATTTAAAAGAAGGTTGAGGCTGCAGCTGGAGGACTGCAAGTGTGAGCCCAGGTTGGGCAACTTAATTACAACCTGACTCAAGATTAAAAAAGGGCTGGGCTGTAGCCCAGTGTGAAGGCCCTGGGCTCAATCCTTGATACTGCAGAAAAGTAAAAGCAGGACCACTTAAAAGTTATAGCATGAATGTGTTACTGCTGTTTTTGTAAAAGCCTTTTTGCTCATAATTGTGTGCCTGATAAAAGCTCTGATACTGTTCTGATGTCCTGCTTCAGGACAAAAATTAAATGCTTTTTAAATATGGCCAAATGTGAAACTGGTGGACTAAACACTAACAGATTGAAAATACTTTAAAATAGCCACATTAAAAGAAAATGCATCTAAAAAGATTCATACTATTCATTTTGGGCAATAAATAAATACAAAAAATATGTCAGCTAAGGGAAGAGTTTATAATTTTTCTTTAAAACATTTGATAGAAAAAAACTTAAAAATGATAGTTTATCATGTCCTTTAAAAAGTGAAATAAACCTTGGATACTACAAAGGAATATTTGACAAACAAAATTGTAGCATCTTGAGAGCATAATTACTAGGATCAAACACAAAAGCTTATTTCCTTCAGTTGTCTATATAAAACATCAGTTTCATTTTCTTTCTTTCCCTAGCATATCTGTCACCATCTCTTCCTCTCCTATTCAATCATAATAAACTCTTCCTCCAGTAAAGCACCATTTGATACCATTGCACATGTTCTGTTGCTGCAACACTACCCACTCATCCTTGCTGCCTCTGTAAGTGTACAAACACACTGTTCTCAAGGCTTTTTAAATTTTGATTAAACCCAGGGTCTTCACACTGAGCTACATCCCCAGCCCTTTCTAAAATTTTGAGATAGTATCTTGCTAAATTGCCCAAGCTGGATTTTAGTTTGTGATACTCCTGACTCTGCTTCCCAGACTGTTGGGGTTATGGGAATCCACCACCAAGTCTTTGAGCTAAATTTCCCTCTTGTGGTTGGTACCATGTATGTAAGGTGTGTCTTTCCTGGTAGGCCTGTCTGTCTCGTTCAGCACATTCCAGTAATGAACACATCTGTTTCACGAAATAAACTGAAGCATATATGTTATTGCACCAATGTTTTCTGATTTAGCAATCATGTAACAATAGTTTATTGATTCAGAACTTTAATCATAATAGAGAAAGTTCAAAAAGTTGCAAGGTGTTATCTAGCATGATTATCTCACAGAGATCAGAGGTGGGGAGACAGGAATTTGTTGAATGTACTAAGGTCCATGTTGGTATCATGTATGTAAGGTGTAAGAAAACTTACTTTTCTAGGACAGTCTTAAGTCTTATTTGTCAGATCTCCTAACATTTTGCAATTTTTTTTTTACAATTTTCAAGCATATAAGAAATTATATACATATACATATATGTATATATTTTAGGACAGGGTCTACAGGATCTCACTATGTAGATCTAACTCATAGTGATCTGCCTGTGTTCAGCCTCCCAAGAGCTGGGATTACAGGTGTGCCACCACACCCAGTCTGAGAATTACATTTGAAATGGAAATTTGTCAATTTATTATTAGAAAGCAGTTTATATAATGGATATTCTGTTAGTGAAAATAACTACATTAACTTCCAAGTTAAACACATGATGAAGACAAAGCCTGAACATTAAGTAGGCACTTGGCTGCCTGTTGTGCACATGCCTGTAAATTTAGGTCTCTGGCAGGCTGAGACAGGAGGACCCTAAATTGAACCCAGAGTCATCTTCAAAATTAAAGAGCCCAAGGATGTCAGGAATGTAGCTAAATGTTAATTACTTAGTACCCCACCCACCTGCATACACAAAAAGCAAAAAGCATTGGGATTAACCCCATTTGATATCTCAAACTGCCATAGAAGGCTTTCATGGGATGCATTTAGTTATTAAATCATCTCACCCATATTTAGTACTCAACAATGTTTTACATGGTGAACACAGGACAGCGAAAGATGCAAAGTTCATGGTTACCACAGGACTTGGCTTCTACTGGCATGGGGAAGACACTGAAGGGCAAATAATATAGTTTCAGACTGACAAATACGTCGGACCACGAGAGATTGTCTTTACAACAAACGTCTGGCAAGATTTCCCGGCAGGCCCACCGGAATGCAACCTGCGGTCGCGCTGGCCGGGAGGCGCGCACAGGACAAGCATGGCGGACACAGGGGCGGCCATCTTTGCGGCCAACGTGGCGGCCGCGCGGCCAGCCGCCTCCCGCAAAGCGAGCTGCGGCCTGGACCAAACGGTTACGCAGGCGAATGCATTCATTCGGAGAGCAGCGGGTGCCAGCTCTGCGCCCGCCCGCAGCCCCAGCTCCCCGGCGAGGCAGGCCTCCACAGGCGGCGGGGCGGGGCTCGGCCTCGCGACTCTCCCGCCTTGTCCTCCAGAGCGCCGGGGCATGGTCCCGGGCGCCCGCCGGCCGGGCCCCGTCAGCGGTCGCCAGCGGGGGCTCTAGGGCCGGAGGGTGCGGACCCAGGAACCCGGGCTCCCCTTCCTCCTGGGGTGGCCCGCGCGGCGGGTGAGGGGGGCAGGGGCGCTACCCGCGGGCTGCACCCGCGCCGGGAGGCGTGCTCGTCTACGCGCACCTGGCAGGACGGAAGGGACGTCAAGTCCGCAAACAAGCACTTTAAAACATCACTTCGTCTCCCCTCCTCGTGTTTTCAAAGCTGGTGGCGGCGGCCCAGCCCGGCTTCCTCCGGTTCCGGGACGACCGAACCCCAGGCGCCCCACTTTTCCCAGGGCGGGAACCAGGACTCACCGGGCTGCGCCAGGCCTTCTGGGGTGGACGCCCACGCGCGGCAGCTCAGGTGCGGCAGCTCAGGTGCGCCAGGCCTCGTGCTCGGCCTCCGACTCCGGCAGCTCCGACGCCTCCGCGTGCTGAACTGGTCACTGGGCCGGGAACCGCGCTCTGCAGCCGGGTGGTGGAGCCGGAGGCGCGGGGGCCGGCCAGGTGTGGGGGCGGGGCCGGCCAGGTGTGGGGCGGGGCCTGGCAGGTGTGGGGGCGGGGCCGGGCAGGTGTGGGGGCGGGGCTCCGCACCCCAGGTGGATGCTCCCCAGCCCCATCACCTAGGCTTGTAGGGGAGCCTCTGCTCCGAGTCCCAGAGGCCCCCAGCTTCAGCACACAGTGAGCACCCGAGTGTCTCCAGAACGACAACAAGCCCTATCTGTGTGCATCCGAATTTAAACTTTTCTGTGCGTATGAAATACAACTCAAGAGGAGCTGGGAGTACTTTATGTGAACACATGCACACGCCTACACACACACACACACACACACACACACACACACCCTGAGTCTTCTACACTTTTGCACGGTCTGCACTCCCCATGTCAAAGTGGCCCTCTTCTCAGATGAATTCCTGTTTCTGCTCTTCCCGTTCATGTGACGGCTCTAATCCTTGAATGTCACAATTTACTTGGAAATATTGGTCAGTCAAGGTTCACCTCTGGCTTTCGCCTACTGAAATTTAATAGTTTGTATAAATATGCGCACCATTAAAATAAAAACCAAATCAATGTTTCGGAACCTCTTAAATATCAGCCTGAAGCTTTTGTACTGTTCTCACATTAGAGAGCGGCTCTTCACCGTTTGTTTTTGAGTAATTTCAATTATGGGATTGGAAAATAGCAGATAATCTCCAGTATGGAAAATACATAAACTATTTTCTATTTGTCATTCCTTAGTCTTCCCCACCAAGCTTAAAGTCTCCTTCTCCATTTGGAAGTTAGATGAAGCTTCCTTTAGTTGCTTTAGAACTTTACCTTTGAACATACTGTCCACAGCAAAACTCTAAAGGCAAACTTAAAAAAAAAAACAAAAAACTTCTCTTGGTCTCTACAGCACCTTGTGGTGGCCTTTTTAGAAATGGCACAAATGTATTCTTAGATCTTATGTCACCCAGGCTTCTTCTTTTAGTT